CTCCAAGTTTCACATCGCATCACTTCCTCTGTTTAGTCTGTCTCACGTTGCCTAACTTCTTACTTTCCTCTCCTTCTTTCTCTCTTGATCTTAGCTTCCCTTCAATTCCTTCAAGCACATTTTATCATTTTATGCGTACCAAAGGGTTTGTGAAGAACCTGTGATTGTGATGGAAGGAGGGATTCATGCAGGGGCCGATAATTCGGCTTTCAGAGAGTGTTTCTCGCTGACATGGAAGAACCCTTATGTTCTTCGTCTTGCATTTTCTGCTGGAATTGGTGGCCTTCTTTTCGGCTATGACACAGGTTTCTACATTCACCTCTGCTTCTGTACATTTATTTCCTATACTTGGTTTAGTTTCTGTAATAATTTCTTGGGTTTGGGATTTTGGACATGCAGGTGTGATATCAGGTGCTCTGCTTTACATCAGGGACGACTTCGGGTCTGTGGACAGGAAGACCGTCTTGCAGGTCAGGAAATATGTACCATCTTAGCTTTCTTTTACTGCCAAAGATGATGTATAGGTTTGAGTTTTCTAAGCAGAACAAAGAAACGGAGGTTGAGTCCTTCTGTAACTGTCAATAGGCACGAAATTTAGATTCCTTTCTGTATGATTGTAGTTTTTAGTTTCTAATTTTTACTTTTGATTATTAGTTTTGAATTTTATAAATTTTGTAATAATATAATAACAATAATAATAATAAACTCATATTCTGTGTTTTTGTTATGTATCATCATAATTCAAAACAGAAACTGTAACTGCCTTTTCTTCAATTTTGTAAAAGTTTAGGCTGTCTTTTCTTGAGATTAGAGTAAATTAACAGTCTCTAGGAGTAAATTAGCAATCTCTAGCTATTTCGAGGTTCATAAATATTGTAATAACTGTACATGAGTCCAAACGTCTATTACCACAGCTTTTGAATGCAAGCTTTGGACTAGGTCACTAAGTTCAGTTCAATACAAAATACAAGGGTTGCCCACAATGAGGCTGTATTAATGAGGGTCGTGCCATGTACATAAACAGGAGAGCATAGTGAGCATGGCAGTTGCTGGAGCCATCATAGGAGCTGCAATTGGTGGGTGGATGAGTGACCAGTATGGGAGAAGAAGTGCATTACTAACTGCAGATTTCCTCTTCTTCATAGGAGCTGTGGTCATGGCCTCTGCTCCTGACCCTTCTCTTCTTATTGTTGGTCGAGTCTTCGTCGGGCTTGGTGTTGGAATGGCATCAATGACTTCTCCTCTGTATATCTCAGAAGCTTCTCCAGCCAAAATCCGTGGTGCCCTCGTTAGTACCAATGGGTTTCTTATCACCGGTGGCCAGTTCCTGTCTTACCTCATCAACTTGGCTTTCACCAAGGCACCTGGAACATGGAGATGGATGCTCGGGATTGCAGGACTTCCTGCACTGCTGCAGTTCATTCTGATGATTCTTCTTCCAGAATCTCC